GTTTCGGCAAAAGATTCCTTTCACGGGACTGCTCATTCGCTTTGTCAGCATCCAGACGGAACTGATTCTGGCCAAACACGCTCGGATGCGTCTCTGTTTCAGGAAGAATCTAGTCGGACCAAGCATGTTCAACCACTGCCAACACAGTACACTAGCACAAGCTCTTCATAATGATGCGTATGTTCCTGTATACTATGGTCCTGTTAGGCCACCTATAGATGAACCGTAGATACTGAAGGAGGACCGTAAGCTGGAGTATATGTGGCTAGAACACCGGATGAAGCTCTGCCTAAAGGAGACCCTGTGTGACACTGGTAATGCGTCTTGGGCAGCATTCCATACGTCACAGAAAGAGGAACCCCCAGCTACAAAGACGAATGTGTCGTTGCCATAGCGAAAAAGATCCAATGGCGGTTTCCCAACTTGTATGGCGAGGACAAGTATGTCATTATGCTAGGGGGATTGCATACAGAGATCGCTGCTTTCAGGACGATCGGAGATATTCTTGACGGAAGTGGATGGACAGACGCTCTGACTGCAGGCACCTGTGAAGGATTCCTTCACGCATCACGTGACCAAAACCCACAGGGCCCATCAGGTTACAGCTGCAGCTTTGTATCAGTTACAGCAGAAAGCCTACTTGAACTCCAAGGAGATGGAACAGAATGACAGTGGTCAGACCGAAGCAGATAGATTGACACAGTGGTGTGCTGAGAGATCAGAAATGTACCCACAGTTTTATTTTTGGCAGACAGTCTTAGATTTTGAACGGACTATTTTCCAGTTTGTGAGGTCCTTGTGAGTGTCCGATTTTGGCTTGTACATTGCATCGCAAGCCGAGTTAGTACCCTGGTTCTTCGCATTGGACCATCCAAATTATGCACGCTGGTTACCGGTTCATGTGAGAGATATGTCAACCTTGGAGGAGAGGTGTCCAGATGTCTTTTGCGAGTTCAAACGCGGGGCATTTACTGCCAAGACAAGCAGACCGTTCTCTGCCATTTCATTGGACCAGGCACACGAACAGATTAATGCCCTGGTTCAGGGTGACGGTGGAGCTGTTGGCCTAACTGAAAACCCTGGAGCACTTCGGAGATGGATAGTGGCTGGGCCCAAAATAGCGAGGCTAGTTGAAGAGTTTGAGGATGACTTGGACGAAGGTTGGACTGTCACGACCCCTGATCGCCTCCATGAGCAGACAAAAAACGTCCAAGAGAAATTCGTTCAAGATGTACAGTCACTGGTGACCACAACTGAAGAGATGGGCAATCCATTTATGGAGGAGAGTATGGCTTGCTAAATCTCAATTCCAAAGCCATCATGCCAGAGGAAGTTGTACTTGCCACGAGGAGCGTTCATTCACTGGGGAAGGCAAAATATTACCAATTCATGGAAGAGCGTTTAAATTCCAATTCGAAGTCAATTGGAGACACCATTTCCCGCAACAATCTGGCCATGTTTAGCAAGCCTGGTGTGGAGAAGACCAAAGCAGCGGGGAGACTGATGGAGCTGAAGAATGACAGGGCTCTGTTTTCAAGGTTGTACATTGCCAGTCAAACTAGAGAAGGTAATGTTGATGAATTCTTTAGGCATGAGAACCAATCTACTCCACCGTCATTGGCAACTGGAGGTCAGATGCGCCAGGGTGACAAACATTACCTTTTGGACTGTATCGAAGGAAATGTGACAACCAGTCATGGTACGTCCTTGGTGATTGATGTTAAAGTCCTCGATGGACCTGCTGTAGTTCACTTTCTGGTTCCTGGAACCTGTGGTACCTTCGAGGAGTATGCCCAGGAGGTCTTCCTACCATATGTTGTCAAGGAACTGCATAGTGTCAGACGAATTGATATTGTATGGGATGTGTATCTGTCCGAAAGCTTGAAAAACGCAACAAGAGAGAAGAGGGGCTGTGGCACTAGGCGTCGGGTTTCATCCTCCACAAGAATTCCAGGCAACTGGCCAGGATTTCTTCGGAACAATGAAAACAAGCAGGAGTTGTTTCAGTTTCTTGCACAGAGATGTGTGGAGTATGAAACTGCAGGTGACAAGACAATCTACAGCACGGTGAACAATCAAGTTAATGTTAATGACATGGCCCAGCAAGGACACAAGAAAGTGATGATCCGCACTGTGGACACGGATGTGGTGGTCATAGCAGTTAGTATATTCAAGGAGATTGGCCTGAAGGAGCTTTGGGTCGCTTTCGGGACTGGTAAGAACTACAGACACATTGCAGTACACCAGATAGTCAGTAACATTGGGGCAGAGAAGTCACAGGCACTGGCATTTTTCCATGCATTTACAGGCTGCGACACAGTGTCTTCTTCTCAAACCGTGGGAAGAAATCTGCTTGGCAGGCATGGCAGGTATATCCTGAGGCTACAGAGGCCTTCCAGGCACTGTGTTGGCAGCACCTGACGTACTGAAGACAGTCATCGAAATTCTGGGGCGATTCGTTGTCCTAATGTATGACCGCACCAATGAACTTCATGGTGTAGATGAGGCAAGGTGCTATCTCTTCTCCAAGAAGTCCAGGGAGATCGAAAATATTCCTCCAATGGCAGCAGCTCTATTAGAACACACAAAAAGAGCTGCATTCCAAGCAGGCCACATCTGGGGTCAATGCTTAGTTGCCAATCCAGCTGTTCCCTCACCAGGTGACTGGGGTTGGGAGAAGTGTGATGGACAATGGAAAGTTTTACGGACCATGCTTCCTGAGGCCACTAAAGCTTGTTACGAGCTGCTGAGCTGCAAGTGCAAGAAGACCTGCAAGGGGAACTGCAAGTGCTATGGGGCAAACCTCCAGTGCACTTCACTATGCGCTTGTGATGGACAGTGTTATGCGAATTGAGTTAACTGCGAGGTACAACAGTGCACGGCATTATGCCTTACAAACAAAAAAGGTGTGGCTATCTTGGATTTTAATATGGCAGATATCTGACAGCTATTCTTTCACTGGAATCCTTGATGGGGGTAGCCATTGGAATTGAGTTTCTATCTGTCTTAGATTCGAAGTTATAGACAATCAGGTTTACGGCGGCGGCCATCTTGGAATTCAATATGGCCAACACCAATGTTCAAAACAATTATTTTACTGGATTCCTTGACCCTGAAAATGGGGTATTAGCAACTGGAATTGCTTTTCAATATGCCTTAGTTTCGAAGTTATGGGCAACTAAGTTTAATACGGCGGCGATCTTGGAATCCAATATGGCCAACACCGGATGTGCAAAATAATGACTTGAGCGAATTCCTTGATCCTGAAAATGGGGGGTTAGACACTGAAATGGCATTTCTATCTGCCTTTGTTTAGAAGTTATAGGCATAAGTAGGACCAATATGACGTCCCTTTTTGAAA